GCTGGTAACGCGGATTCGGCGTACCCGCCACCGAATTGCCGCCGAAACTGCGGGACCGACGGACCTCCCACAGGCATGCCACCGAAGGCAGCCTAACTGCTGCCCTCACAGCGACTGGCAGGCCGCCCCCCACGGCTTGCCACCCCAGGCACGCGCTTGGTGCGCTGGTGCCTGGAGCCGCCCCTGCCCTGAGAGTACAGGTGGGCAGAGAGAGAAACTATCTGCAGCAGCCCACTGGGCTAGGAAATCTAGAGGATTGTTGGCTGAGTCCAGGAGAAGTCTAATAAAGTGCAGCTCACTCCTAATGCAGAGGTACTGTTCTCTTGGTTATAACGTTCATGCACCCTGCTTATTGCAGAACAGAAGGTTCTCTTTTGTTTATTGTGCAGTATATAATCCTGCCTGGCTCTGGTTTAAGAAAGGAGGTATGATCTGCCATTATCATGGATTATCAGGTTGTCTCCAGAGCAGGTAGCAGACAGGAGTGTTACTATGATGTGTTTTGCATTTCAATGAGCAGTCTGCACAGAGAGCTTTAAACTCAACTGTTTATCAGATCTGGGCAGAAGCAGCTCTTTGCTGAAGCATCCTTCCAAGATGCCCTGCGGCATTAAGTGAAGAAAAGTCTGCTCCAGCCACAACAAGGTCAAGGCAGTCAAGCACAGAAATTCCAGAGGGCCTTAACTGTAAGCGACATGGCACCACCGGGAGAGTGATTAGAGATGGAGGGTTTTAGAAAAACTTGCTTAAAAATACTGTTTCTTGATAGTTATATAGGTTTACAACTGTATAAAGTGGAAGGGTTGGATTAGTGCTTTAAACATCAAAACTGAAATACACACATGCCCTCAGAGCTCAGACACCAGATATCATCCTAAGAACCCAGTCCAACCCCCTCGGAAAAATTCCCAGAGACTTCACTGGGAGTGGGACCCAACCCTACATGCCTAAATAAAGACAAAGAGAGAGATTAAATGCACAGCGAGAATAACATTGCCTCTCACGGGAAATGAATTGAGTTCCATGCAGGATGCAGTAGTGAAGTCATTAAATGGGCTTCTGTCCTGAAAGGAACACAGTGAGAGATCCCCTTCTCTCAGAAAGTGTTTCAATTTATTCTTGCTTTGAGTAGTCCCAGAGATGACTCTCAATGAAAGACTTGAGGGAAATATTTTCCAGCTTGTTTACTTCATGAGTTTGGCAGTGCTTTGTGTAGAAACAGTTTCACTCTTTCCTCTGGATAGTCAGCAAGGCCTTGTAAT